AACTTGGGCCCTCCCTGGTGGTGCAACAGGTTAAGGCACAGCACTAAGAAGCAAAAGTCATTTAGCATGAGATCCCTTCCTGCACCAGAGAGATCCACGTGGTGCAGCAGACCTCTCCTGACCTACACGCTGCTCCTCTAAGCAGTGTACTTTATCCATCTGCCTAATTTGCTCCCCACTCTGTCTCTAGGAATCCTCTCACCGCCCCTGCACCTCTGGCCTGTACCCCAGTTCTGTATGCACAAATAAAAAAAAAATCTTACTTAAAAATAAAAAATCTGAATCCACATTTACACTTTAAAATTTAAACTTATTTAAATTTATATTGGGGATATATAAATATGCCCAAGTAATTATTAAGCAACTTGAGACTGTATGACTCCCTGAAAATTTATCACCCAATTAGCATACATTGTTAATTGTTGCCTGAATTAATTATTGCTATGGTAGATGTAAAATAATGACTTCCTATTTCCATTGTTCCGTCTACACCTATTATTATCCTGTTGACAGGAGTTTTCCCTCTTCTCTCCACACCACTTGAAAAATTTAATGTATAAATATGGACTCAAATTTATTTTTATTTAATATAATATAGTTCATACGCCTTGTCACTATTCAGTTTAATCATAAAACTGTGACAAGTTCAGTCAGTAGGAACAACTTCAAATCAGTTTCTGAATACCTCCACCATGTTATTTAAAGATTATCTGTTTCCATGTTTATCTGTCTGTTTATCTGTGTATCTGTCTGTCTATCTAACCACCCATCTACCCATCCTATCAATGTATTTCTCATTTATCTAATCCATATCTATCAAGAGAGATATGGCAACTACTAAGAAAGAACTTTGAACATAAAAAGTACACTTTGAAGAATAAACCAGATCTTCAGGAAAAAAAAAAGGTCAGCTTAAGTATTATTATTATTCAGAAAAATCATGAGTTCATATGAAAACACCACGGAAATTATACTTCAAGGTCATCTTTTGTTTAAAAGTTGTCAAAAGTAGTACATATGTGATCTCTGACATACCTATGGTAGTCACTAACCTTCAGTCAAAGTTTTGTAACAGATCACAATTTCACTCATCTAGATATTTATTTGCTTCACAGTACTGAACAAAAAATGTTGATTGAAGGAATAAGTCAGTAACAAGGAAAAATAAAGAAATAATGACCAAAGGATTACACATAAGTATTTCATTTTATGACTCTCTTTAAAAATCAGTTGTTACCACAAAACACACAAAAAGAACACTTGGAGGTATTATATTTGGAGGTGATATACTTAGAACCTTGATTTTGGTGATAGTGTCAGTTGTGTGCCTGTACAAATTCATCAGTCTGAACTCATCAGTGTGTATATTAAATGGGTGCACTGTTTGTATTTCAGTTATATATTTAAAAATCAGCTCTGACTTTCAGTAAAAGAATTCTCACCTTTATATCTGGGAAAAAGATTTCTGAGCTGTGCAACTTATTTGTTACTTTGGATAGATCTCTAATGTGTCTGTTTCCTCACCTATAAAAAAAGATTAAAAGTGTTAGGATAAATGAATCACCTTAGGTAAATCTTAGGATAGTACATGGTACCTAGTAAGTACCCTATAAGTTATTATTGCTTATAGTTTCAGAATTGACTATCTCCTTGGTTACCAATCATGTTCATACAAAATGATCTTACAGTATAAAGTATATTACTTTAATGAAATGTACACTATCTCTCTTTTCTGTTTAAGGTTAAGCCTTGACCAGTTTTGCTTTTACTTTACTTTTTTAAATTTTGTTTTTAGTATCTCTGGAAAATATTTCCAAATTACATTACAAACTGTTTGCTTACTTGGCTTAACCATTTCAAAAATATCATTAGCTGGATTTCTAGGTGTTTCCTATAATTGTTCACATTAATAACACTTCGCATGATTTTCCTGCCATTTATATTTGCAGTCTTTGTTTCTAAATCCAAAATGTTATTATTCAGGGTTTGGTAGGCCCTTCACCCCTTCTGTAAATGAGCAGATAAATTCCTTCCTTCTTACATCTAGTATTTGAAATTTATTGCTTTCTGTGTAATGTAGATTAACACTTGGATAGTGAACAAAATACTATAGCTCCTTAGGCAAACATTATTTCAATTTATTTTTTTAAGCTTTATTTATTTATGCAGAACTGGGGTGCTGGCCAGAGGTGCAGGGGTGGTGAAAGGATTCACCAGAGACAGAGCAGGGAGGAGGACAGGCAGATTGATTAGGTATACTGCTGAGAGGAGCAGTGGGCAAGACAGGAGAGCTCTGAAGCCTATTTTACAAATGCGATTTTATCAAATTTCCATATATGATGGAAATGACTAAGAAATGACTATTTTAATTTTTATTATTTTTACTGGTATTTTTATTTAATTTTTAAAAAATTAATGTAATTTATGTGTCTTTCCTAGAAAGCAACCAGCAGTACCTTGGATAGTTATACTTTAAACTTAGACTTTACTTGCTTTTTAAAGACAACACCATACTGGATTAAATGATTAACCAACCACTATGTGTCAGTGTTTGGCCTTTAAAAAAAAAAATCTGCTTACTTAAGTTAGAAGGATTGTTGTACATAAAAAATAGAATGAAAAAGCACGATCAGCTCTTCCACGTAAGTGTAAGATGTTATGACTTGTAGTCTAGAAGCGTCTACCATTGCATTTAACTGCCTGGACACCTGGATGTTGATTGCATGCATGTTGACACATGTAGACTGAATTTGCTATATTTCTTTGGCTATTGTGATATGACAAATCATTCTTGGGGTTAACATCTAGACAAGTTAACCCAGGTGCTAGATCTTATATAAGTTTGGCTTCCTTCTTCTGTAATTGAGGCCTAATCTATGTTGCAGTTCTTTCTTTTCTCCCTCTCCTTTTTTCCTCCCCTCTGTTCTTAAAATAGTTATAGGACTACTGTGAGGGGATGATGGAAGGTATTTTTGCACCTCAGCAATGTGTCAAGATCCTCTGTGTGTAGCCTCATTAATTTGCTTCAGGAATAAATGCTTGTGCTAGTGAGGTCCACTTGGACTGTTTGCTTCTGGTATGGTTCCTCTAACTAGCATGAGTGCTCTCTCTGAATTTCTGGAACCATGCCCGTCAGGCCACTTTTCTTCTGGGTGCTGTTTATCTTCAGTCTCTCAGGGTATTTAGATAGCAGGTGTTGTTCATGTTCGGTCACTTAGGGTATTTAGATATTAGCAAGAAAAGCCTTAGACTTCTCCAAAATTTTTATTTCATGTCTTGTATGTGCAAGGCAAAAAATTATTCTTACAAGTAGAGCCTATTACGGTTCTATTTAAGGGATTCAATCAAGGATTCTCTCTTATCATTTATCCATCCACTTATGTCGCAATTCAGAGCATAAAATCTTGTCCTGATCCTGTCTTTCTCTTCTAAAAACATTTGAATGTATTTTACATATTGAATACATTATACATCCTTTTCTGAAGATGTCATCTCTGCCATATAAAGTCCCAGAAGGATAACTCAATTGCCTCCCGTTCCCCTCAGATACACTTCTTCATATTTCAAACAGTTCAATTGCCTGTGATGCTTAGATGCATTCTCATCTGCTTCTAAGCATACATGATTATAGTAACTTCCATTTGAAAAGGAAGTTTGTATTCATAAAATGCTTACACATCTATAGTAATTTTTGCCCCTGTGAACTAGGCAGGGCAGGTTAGTATCGTTAACATTATTTTAGGGTTGTCACACAGAAGAGAGCTGCCAAAAAACAATGAAAAGACTCAGACCAATTCTTGAATTTATGTCTTTAACTTTTCACCAGTGTTGCTGGTATCCAGAAATATAAAATGATTCCATACAAGAAGAAAGTTCTGGAATAATGTTAAGGGTTTGATAGCAAATGCATGCACTATATTTTTGGAATGAGACTGATTTACATTTGGAAGTTTTTAATTGCAGCCATCCATCAGTTTTAAACTTTCAATGTCTAAATATAAAGATGCAGCAATATAAATGAGCCAGCTGCATTTTTACACAGAGCAAGCGTGAATTGATGAGTTTGTGAATGAGTGAAGTGATGGAAATCAACAGCTAGAATAAGAATATTCTAGCCCATTTTAATAACCTATGACATATATCAGTAGCCTGGAGAGCCTTCAAGTTTAAGCTAACTTACACAGGAAAAATCTCAGAAAAGAAAGGTTTTCAATCAACAAAGGGAATAGGTATATTGATATCTTCCATGCTTTTTTTTAAACTACAAGGTCACTTCATCTTTAGTTTTCCTACCTGAAACGTCTTCTCTTGCTCCATTTAAATAAATTGTCCATGGTTTGTGATCTTGTGAGAGTTTGTTTATGCAATTTTAGCCTCCCCCCCTTTTTTTTAGGAAATAAATATTCCTTTATTTCGTCTGCAAATTACAACAACCGTTTCAAATGAACCCTTAGGAAAAAATCAGCCCTTCCAATCTCCCATAATTTTTATTCATGAGTAAGATTTATTTCTGAAGACATTGTAGAAAGAATGTGGATCTCCAAAGTGTTAGCCAGGAGCTGCTTCACCACGAGGAAGACACCTGATGCCTCCCCACAAACACTGTTCCCCGCTACCTACTTTGCTTGGGGGGCTGCGAGCGCTTCACCCAGGGCTGGACCCTGCCGCGCACGCGCATTCCCCTTGCCGGTGACAAACTCCAGTCCTCCCTGCACCTGCCAGGTCATAAACCCCTTCCCATCCACTCCCGCTTGCTCCCGGAGGCTCAGTCTTGTCTCACGTTGATTGGCCGGAGCCAGGAAGGCGCGTCCAATCAGGAATCTCCCCATGCACACCCTATTCCCGCTCTCCGCCTCTCCCTCCTCGCCGCCCCTCCCCGGCACCTGCCTTCTTTGTGACTGGCGCGCGCCCAGGTCACTCAGAGCCGAGGGGAGAGGTGTGTGGGCGTGGGAAGACCCGGTAGGCCGCGGGAGGGGAGGGTTCCGGAGGGGCAGGACGGGGCGGGGCTCAGGTGCTGCGCAGCGCGGCCCGGGCCTGGCAGGGGAGGGGGCGAGCGTCAGGGCGGGGAGGGGCGGAGGGGCGGAGGGGCGGAGGGGGTTACGCCTGCGACGTCGGCGGCGCCGGGCTTCGCGCGTGAGCAGCGCGGGCGCTGGGCCTGGCTACCGAGCCTTCCCCGCTGGCGAGCAGGTCGTCGACGCCGGCTCCTGGAGGAGCGCGGGGCGGAGGGAGGTGTCGTGTCAGCGGTGTAGTCGACGGCGGCCCCGGCCATGGAAGAGACGCAGCCGCTTCCGCAGTCCGAGCTGCCGCTGTGCGACAGCCTCATCATCTGGGTGAGTGCGGTGGACCGAGGGGCCGCGGCGGGGAGCCCGCTTCCCCCAGATTAGTCGGAGGGATAGCCCGGGCCACCTGCGCCGCGGACTCCGCGTATTGCCCTCCGCGTCTGCTGTCGCCCTTGACCGCGGAGTGCCACCTGCGGGTCGGGGCAGGGTTGTGTGTGTGTGTGCAGGTGTGTGTGCGCAGGTGTGTGATCAGGTGTGTGGCCAGGTGTGTGTGCGCAGGTGTGTGATCAGGTGTGTGGCCAGGTGTGTGTGCGCAGGTGTGTGTATGTGGTATCTGTGGGGACGGGGTGAGGAGTTTGGGGTGGGGGAGGGGAGGTGCAGGACGCCCGTCTTACCCCTGCCACCTTAGTGGTGCTGCTAACAGCTGCGACTGGAATGAGCGCCCAAGCCTTTGCGTCCTCCCGTTCCATTCCTATCTCCGTGCCCCAAGCCCTAGACTTTGTGACCACGCACTCCTCCTTGTTAGAGCCTCCCAGCCTTCCACGGGGACCTCATGCCCCTTGAGTGTGAAGACCCCCGCCGAAACCTCCCTCCCACTCCGGCCACTTTGCTTGCACACAGGTGTTCGGGAGATGGCTGTTTTAGTTCTTTAGTTCTCAGGTCAGTGCCCTTCTAAGATCCCAGGACATGCGAATTGAGGGTGGAGCAGTTTTTTTTTTCCCTCCTCTCCTAGACAGTCCCTCTGCAAACAGACACTTTTTCTTTAAAGATATACACCTGGCCTTTTCGTTTCTACTTGATCCATGCTCAGTATTAATTTGTGCTGGATTTGGGTAGGCGCGATCATTCCCCAGTATTCCAGTCAGCAAAATGATGTCTTAGCTTTTGGAGTTGCTCACCTGTTAGAGAGCTGGCATTCAGGTGTGGTTCCTAACCCAAATAGGGCAAGGATAGTTCTTGCTGGTCCACAGGGCACTGTTGATGTTACCCACCCTGGAACCAGTTGTGTATTAGGGAGTGTGTGTGTAGAATGGAATGTAAACAGACTGGATCAAGAGGCCTTAATTGGTTGATGAGATTCCCTAGAGATCTGATGTGTGTAATTCAAAAGAATGAGCATCAGGAAAGGTTTCTGAAAGTGTGAAGTTTATTGGAAAATAACTATAATTTAAATTTGATGGCAAAATTTTTTACATTTTGCAGGCAATAGTTTTTGCTTTAAATGGAATGCAGGTATCTAGGATTTCTGAGTATCAGAAGCAGTTTGCTAACCGTTCATCTGTAATTTCATTTGAAACAAATGTTAGGCTTGGATGGTGTATTTAAGACTCATGAAACAAGACATTACTTTAATTATGTGTTTTGTTAAAACAAGTGACTAATTAAAGGGTTTATTCTAATCTGCTACATTGTTTCTCTAAACATGACTTTAGTAAACTTAGTCTTTATGATGTCATTGACTTATATATGAGGTGGCAGAGAAAAATAGGATCTTCTTGCATTGTGTTGCAGCATTTCAAAACTCATGACTATTCATAATCTTAAGCAGTGTAATATTGCGTTCCTACTTTGTTCAAGGCACGGAGGGAGGGAGACAGAAAACAAGGATCTAAGGGCTTTTCATTTTAATTGGAGTGGTATGCAGGGTTGTACATTTTTACAACAGAAGGCAAATGGCAAAAATATTATAAATCGATTGAAACGATAAGGAATTATAGCTGTCAAGTGTATTGGTTGTTTGCTTCTCCAGCTCTCATAGGCAGCTGAAATATGTGGGCAAAACTGCTTATTGTACAGACTGGTGCCTGTGCAGATGCGGTTGCCGCCAGATCCACCTGTTCCCATAGCACTGCCCAGTTTTATGATTGAGAATAGCCATGTGGCTCCTCTCGCATTGCACTTTGTAAACCTGTATCAGTGCTCTCCTTGAGCCCCCAACTCTTCTTGCTTTTAGGAAAATCACCACTTCCTTATCTTTATCTCTGGTTTTAGATCCCATTCTTTCCAACTTTTCAAAAACCTTACCTCTTGTCTCTTTCTATAGTTTCCTTCCATTAATGCCTTCCTTTCTTCATATGAACTTGTTAAAATCTTTCCTAAAAGGAACAAAGAGCTCCCACCCCTGTTAAAACCACTCTGGGTTTTTGCTCTCTTCACAGTCCAATGTGTGGGTTTTTTAATATCCTTCAGTATTCTTGAGCTTAGTCACTTCTCTGTATTTGCATTTCTTTCCTCTAAGGCTTTAACATGCTGAATTTGACAAACTGATTAACTTTTATTATCCTTACTTACATGATGACTCCTTTGTGAAATTATTTTCTGCCTGTGATTCTTGATTTTTCTTTACTTCTCAAGGAAGCCTTGTTTTTGTTTTTACACATCAGGTTTTAGTTTTTGTTACTTAGAATATTCTATTTCCAGTTCTTCCAGGAATACCTCCTAGTTTTTTTGGTCACTGTCTTTGCACCATTCGGTTCTTGGATCATTTGTCAGGGACATTATTCCAAAGAGTGACCTATCTACACCCCCCCAATTCTTATCCTATAATAACTTATAATAACTTGTTAATCTTTCTCTGTTGTGTCTATAACACTTTCGGAACTTATCCTTTTTGTTTTTTGGGGACAGAGCCTTTGTATGGCCTGTTTCCTACTCTGTCCCTAGGAACAAGACCTGGCTAGGATCACCAAGACACTTTGAAACAAAGTGATAAGAAAATATCCTCGTCTTGGTCCTGACCTCCAAGACTAGTATTTCACCATTAAGTATGTAATATTTCTGTAGATACCTGAGGAGAATCTTTTTTTTTTTTTTTTT